CTAGAAACCAGAAGATTGTGAATTTTAGTTCCACCTTAGGCATGAAAGCCCAGTTGAGTGACCTTGGGCCAGTCGCTCTTTCTCCACCCAACTCACCTACAGGGTTGTTGTTGTGAGGAAATAGGGGGAGAAAGGAGTATTATGTGTGTGTGTGTGTGCCGCTTTCACTTATAAAGACAGGATTATAATCTAATGAATAAATAAATAACTGGAGCGCTGGACCATTATAAAAAAAAGTTAATAAAGCATTGCAAAAAAGAGAATTTTTGCTGTACTTTTTTTTTCTTGCATCAGGTCATCTGGCCATTCAGAAGTTGCTGAATTACAACTCCCAGCAGCCCCACTTGGGATCATGGAGAGTGAAGGATTCTGGGAGTTGTGGTTCAGCAACACAAACCATAGTCCAGAAGTTGTAGGTGCTCCAACACTGGAGGTTTTTTAACAAGAAATTGGACAACCATTTGTTCGAAATAGTATAGGATTTCCGGCATGAGCAGGGGGTTGGACTAGAAGACCTCCAGGGTCCCTTCCAACTCTGTTATTCTGTTAACATCTTGGAGATGACACATCACTACAATCTACTTTGCTACTTCCTTATGACTTTCAGGATTGTTTGCCATCATCACCATTATCCCATCAGAAAAGCAATTTGCTTTGTTTTAAAGTTTAGTTCTTAAACAAAGCTAAAATTGACTTCTTTTATATATTGCCTTGCTGCAGCTTTTCTACTTAATTTGAATAAATATGTGTGCCTCTGCCTGGATGTGTCTGTGTGAATATCAAAATACACTTGTGATTTTTATGAGAATTTTATATTTAATATGCACTGTTAGATTTTCGGTATGCCTGGCGAGAAGGCATGGTCTTACACCTGTGCTGCTTGCAGATTCATCACTTTTTGCCCTTGACTTTAGGAAGCCAAGTAGCACTTCATAATATAATTAGATCTGAAGCTGATTTGGGACATCAGAAAATGAAATATTGGAGAAATGCTTATCTTTTTTTTTTAAAGAACAAATTGTCAAGAACTGTTTTGTCTCTGTATGCATAACAAACAACTCATAGTACAATGCCAGGCTACAAGAGTATCTAATCCACCCATATATCTTGTTAAATGATGGCTGCCCAGTCTTGCATTTTCCTACTGAAGCCATCAATTTGGAAAGGTTTTATTTTGATTTCAGTGACCCTTAAGTTAATATACTGTGCAAATTACAGTGTTGTTGATGCTAGCAATAATGATAAATAGTTCTATAATGCAAACTGTAATGCATAATTGGAGCACACAGATGTGTTCATAACGATGGTCAGAAAAATAAGATGGTGCTACATGCATACAAAACAGGCCAAGATTGGATCACACCTGTCTGGACACCATCTTGATTTTTTTGGCCAAACCTTGCAGACACCGCTGTAAATATGGCTTTTTTTTTTTACCAATTCAGCTACAGTTTTGTTGGATTAAGAGCCGTAGTGGCGCAGTGGTTAGAATGTAGTATTGCAGGCTAACTCACTGCTCACTGCCAGGAGTTCGATCCTGACCGGCTCAAAGTTGACTCAGTCTTCCATCATTCTGAGGTCGGTAAAATGAGGACCCAGATTGTTGCAATATGCTGACTCTATAAATTGCTTAGAGAGAGCTGTAAAGCACTGTGAAGTCTAAGTGCTATTGCTATTGCTATTATGGTTGATCATACAGTCAGCCAGATGTTTAGACTAGTTTTGTCATTTTTATCAACTTATTAACTGTCCTTTATACTAGCTAGGGATTCAACAGGAAAGAATAACAGGGACCACCATTTTATTCACTGGGGTTCTTTCACTCTTTCTGGAGGAAACATTTATCCAGGCTAAACATCTGCAATGCTACCCAAATGGAGGAGTTCAGAAACCTCAGTAGCAAAATACAGAGTATTTCTCAGGATAAAGAGCTCGGCCCTATTAGTCAAATTTATTCAGGTTACATATTAAAGGTCTTAAATGGTATAGGATCAAATTAAGGATTTGACCTTTTTATCCACCTACCAAGTCCTTCCCAAGGATTTGGGACAGGCAGATGTTGATGTTTGTTGGGGCTAGAGGTATCGTCACAGGATGTAAACTGTTCCGAGTAAAGCTGCCTTTTGCAATTGGCTGATGGTGAATTTGACAATGCCGATGGTGTTCAAGTGGCAATCCAGAGGTTTTTCGGATTGCACCCAAGATGCCTATTACTATTGGTACTACCTTGCAGGATTATTATTATTATTATTACTATTATTATTATTATTATTATTATTATTATTATTATTATTATTATTATTATTATTATTATTATTATTATTATTATTATTATTTGGTGGTGCAGTGGTTAGAATGCAGTACTGCAGGCTAACTCACTGCTCATTCCAGGAGTTCAATTCTGAGCTTCCATCCTTCCGAGGCAGATAGAATAAGGACCCAGATTGTTGGGCACAATATGTTAACTCTGTAAACCGCTTAGAGAAGGCTGTAAAGCACTTTGGAACAGTATATAAGTCTAAGTGCTAGTGCTAAATGCTAGTGCTATTCAATTGGTGTCACTGATTGTGGTACTCTACGCAGAAAGGGAATGCTTGCTGTGCAGGGAAATGTGTGTTGATGCACAAGGCCTGGACCTTCAGTATCTTATGCTAAATTGTGGCATCCAAACACCTCTCTCTCTTTGCATCCATGAAAAAAATATTTGAATCTCTTTACTGTTTTAAATGCATTGTTATATTTCAGGTAACAGTTTGGCCTTGGAATTGAAAGCAGCGCATGATCAGATTCTGATAACAGATTTCTATGTTGTAACATAAAACAGACATCCCATACTACAGCATATTCTGCACAATCAGGGGTTCGTTATTATGTGCCAAGTAAGGAAATATATAAGCCCATTTGTGGATTAGCCAACTCACACGTTTTTAACCAAAAGACTGTGAAAGATGAGACAATCTTCGAAATTTCCATGTTTTAATTTTCACAATTGACTTATTTGTGAGTAATCCATGAATTTTCCATTTTTCATGGTATTTTGGTTAAAATGTTGAGAATTGGCTTATCTGCAAATGGACTTATACATGAGTATATATGGGATATAAGGATTTTTTTTTTAAGTACTACTATATACACTCACAAAGAAGCCCATCCATGGGGGTTTGTGGGTTGTATTTTGGCCCTTAATACTCTTGGATTATTTCTGTAGAAAGTTCCTTCTCACTTATGCATACCATAGTTTGATTAAGCCAAAATCTTTTGTCACCTGGTTGAAAGGCTGTCAAATGACCAGCAGTTGACATGTATAGAGTCATTATTTCATAAATGTTTTTTCTTTGTGTGTGTGCGTGTTGTTGTTGTTTTGCATTGCTTAGACAGACGATAGCTAAATAACAAAACAGATATCTGGGCTTTGAGGTTATTTAAAATGTATATCAAAATCAATCTAAAGCAAAAACGTTTATGTTTCCCCCCCAAAAAAATTTACACTTGAAATATATTGACATAAAAAGGATTGTTAGATGACATTCTGTTCTGTACCAGAAGACGCATTATTGGCCTTGTGACTTAATAAAACAAACAGAAGTCAAAAGAGGGATTTTCAGCTCTTACCTGGCCCACTCAAATCCTTGAATAGTTGCAAGATGCAAAGCCAGGTGCTTTTTCTTAAGGCAATCACGAGCATACCTCTCTCACATAAGAGTGGCAATGCAGTGTTTTGTTTTTCCATAGAGCAGAGGAAGAGAGACACAGCATCCCTTTTGGCTGCAATCTTGAATCAGACAGAGCTGTTCCGCACATTCTCTGGGCAATGGAAATAATCTTAAGGGAAATACTGCATCAGTTCAGAAATACTGATGAGAAACTGCACATTGGAAGACTCCTTAACATCAGAATGTCCCAAAACAGACTGGACCCTCTAGCTGGATGGCTGGCAATGTGCTCTTTTTCCCTGGGTCTGGAATTTGGGATTGGGGAGTTTCAGTCTGAGACTAACTTCTTCCAATCAGTCTCAGACAGACAGATAGACAGACAGTCTTCATGTCTCAGGAAATTCGGGGTTTGTTGAACCTGACGTGCACTCCAATTAAGACACAAGTTGCATATAGCTTTAATAGCTGGAAAACAAAAAGGATACTGGGATCCTTATTTGTTATAAGACGGTGGGTTTTAAAGGATTACGGTCAGAAAATCACGACATTCACTAATAACTACAATTTAATTGGCTAACACAGACCCCAAATGTGGATACTATTAGTCAAAAGGTGCGCACGAAAGGCAGGCACTATTGTTCCTAGGCAAATGTGAACCTTATCTATCCTACTACTACCAAAACTAACTCACACCTTATTCCATTTTGAGGGGAAATTTCTAAGGTCTTCCACCATCTAAACCAGGGGTCTTCAAACTTGGCCCTTTTATGACTTGTGGACTTCAGCTCCCAGAATTCCTCAGCCAGGCACGCCAGAATTCCTCAGCCAGGAATTCTGGGAGTTGAAGTCCACAAGTCATAAAAGGGCCAAGTTTGAAGACCCCTGATCTAAACTCTCACTGCTTGTAATTTTCACTTAAGACATGGTGCTTCAAGGGGAAGTAATTTGGCAACTGATTATCTGCTTTCTTCCAGGCAATCCATGAAGGTCAATCTGGGACCATGCATAATGTTCCTTTTTAAAAAAAAATTAGACCCCCTCTTCCCATTCCATCACTTTCTGTCTCCAAGTCCCCCATTTTAAAAGTATCAGAATTAAAAACATGTTGATTTAGTTCCTTTGTTAACAAAGTACTGCATTTTCATTTTTCCTATTGCAAGAGTATGGCCACTGTTTCCAAAAACACATACAGTATTTTGGCTGTAGATCTGTATGGGAATACAGAATATTAATAGTATTATGTGGTATCTATCTCTGGTTTAAAGAAAGCAGAAGCCAGACTAATGGAATGTAATTTTTCCTCTTCTCTCTGAGCCTTCACTACAATTCTTTTTCCTTTGTCTACAGAACATTTGTACCACGACCACTGCATTTTTACATTTCTTCTTCTTAGCTTCCTTTTGTTGGGTTTTGACTGAAGCGTGGCAGTCATACATGGCTGTCACTGGAAAAATTAGGACACGGCTCATAAGGAAACGCTTTTTATGCCTTGGATGGGGTGAGCTCCTGTTATTCAGCTGAGACTTTTCTTTTTCAGCTTAGTGTTTTTACATGAATAACCTTTGGAATATGAATGCTTGTTTCAAAAATCTTGGCAGATAGTAAGGAGAGTTGTACTCTCCCTACACTTAATATCAATACTGGAATGTTGATGGGCTAGCAAGCAAGCATATTCTTTAATTCTTGATTTGCTTCAAGATCTGGCTGGTGATGAATGTTCCGTAGTTTACTAGAGTTTACCATACATCAGTGGTTCTCAACCTTTTTAATGCCGTGACCCCAACCGGTCGTAAGTCGAGGACTAAACCTGTCGTAAGTCGAGGACTAAATCGGTCGTAAGTCGAGGACTAAACCGGTCGTAAGTCGAGGACTTTCCCTGCCCGGGAGCGCCACGCATGCGTGGTTCCGCCCCCTGCGCCGGCCGAGGCGTATCTGGCAAGTGGCAGAGACAGAGCAGGCCGACCACCAGCTGGCCTAGCCCAAGGGAGGTAAGGCATCCGCCGGAAAAGGGAAAAAAAATGGCGGACAAAAAAAATGGACAAAAAAAATGGCGGACAGCCATGCTTGGCGACCCCCATGAAATGGTCGATCGACCCCAAATGGGGTCCCGACCCACAGGTTGAGAACCACTGCCATACAGTAACTTATAGTCTTAAGAATATTTTCTGTAAAGCATGGTAACATGTAGACTTTTCAAAACATAACTGTATCTGTAATCAAAATCAATTCAATTTTATGCTGTATCTTCATTATATATTATATCAAATGTTTTGGTGACTTAGTGATGGGCTTGGTCACAATGCATGATGGGATAACAGGAATAGTTGACAAGTTAATGGCAGGTGAAAGATACCCTTGTGGTATGCTGGTAAAAACATTATTTCCATATAATTTATATCACAAAGTTTGTTTTTTCTCATCCAAGCAGGAAAAGCAATAAGAATTGTGATTCTCACAAATAATCCTTTTATAGAAATTCTAGTGATAACCACAGTAAAACTGTAGCTGGAGATCACCTATTCCTAGAACTTCCAGATGAGGGATGCAAAAATCCAGATTAACCTTAGATAGCAGCAAAGAGGTACAGACAATTTGAATGCATTGCATTCAATTCTTTTAGCCCACCTCTGGTAACCTTATCGAAACCTTATTTATCTTACAGTGGTGAAATTATTTACCCATTATAACTATGTCCTGAAAGCCAAAAACCATATGGACATTAAGGCAACCAAACAGATCAAAGAAAAGAGGTTTCTGGCCCAGGTAATGCCATTTACATACCAGAATAGGGTACAGATAGGAACCAAATAGGGAACAAATCAATGAGCTGAGAATAATGACTAGATCTGTAAGGTTTCCAGACGTTTTAATTATTTAAGTAATAGCTGAGAAAGGCTGCCCTTGTACTGTCATGACTTCCAAACCACTTCTTCAGAATTGGTTGCAAAATCTCCCAAGCTGTAGCTGCTTGTCTTCTGGGTATAGATAGGCATTGTAATGATCTGAGGAAATAAAATTAGCATCAGATCTATCACCTCACTCCTGATACTGAATATTCTTCTTTATATATTATTTAAAATATCTTATTAGGAAATAGTTCAAAATCCCATTTTACTGTTTTTTCCATTTTTTGTTTTCAGAAACAAGGGCAATATGATGGCCTTAGGAAAAAAAAATGGGGGAAATGTCTTGTTTTCTGGGGAATGACAAATAAACATAAGAACCAAAAGGGATATGAATAGAGAAGTAGTATGCCTAAGTTTCATTGTACAAAAAACCCCAACCACAGGTTTTGTGGCACCTTATGGGTATGAAATGTCTAACAGGATGACCTTTAGATGTGCAGGTCATTAAGTACACAGGGAAATAACATTGGAGTTTTTCTTGCAGGTTTACCAGCATTGGTCGTGGCCATATCAATAGGTTTTACCAAGACTAAAGGCTATGGAACCACTCAATAGTAAGTCATTCTATCATAATATATCTTATTTTCAAGGAAATCTCCTACATTCCTCTTTGTCACATTGCCTGCATTTGGCTATTTGGCTGTATCCAGATCTAGGATTGACACTGAGAGTCTTTAAAAGTAGCCCTGGTTCCCCAGTTCTCGGAGGGAAATGTGGATCTGTGACAGAAAACAATCATACATAGTCAATTGCTCTCTGTAGAATTTGACATGTTTTTACCTTCATGGGCAACAAATCATAGGATAAGTAGCTGCTTCTTTCAGTTATTCCTGGCAGCTCAATTTGAACAACCATAAAGAAAAGGAAACACACACTGGAACAACAGCATATAATAAGCAATTGCTTGCTTAATCATGGTTTCTTGAATTATTGTTGCTTGGGACATTCTATTTTTAGCATTATATCATGATTTTAAAACCCCAATGGATAGAGGTACACAACAAGCAAAGCAAATACCAATCAAACAACATCAAATAGCTTAATGCAAGAGGCCAAAAAAGGCCTGAGTAAGTCATTGTGTAACTGGTGTAGCATTTGTTTCTTCCTGTTTTGTTGTTTCAAAGGTTTGGGGTGGAAGGGAAAAGGCTTGACTGTTATGAAAACTATAAGTGGAACGTTTTGGTCCCTTTGCACTCAGAGCAAAGATAATTGTGAATATGGAAAGAGGACTCATTCCAGTACCCTATCAAATATAGATGAAGTTAAGACTGAAAGCATTAGAAGCCACTGATGAATAAACACCCACATCAGCTTTTGTAGCCTTGGATGAAAACAGCACTTATCCGGATATTTATTCATGTTGTGAGTTTTGGGGAAGGATCAGAAGCTTGTCAGGACTCCACCTTATATCAAAGCTGGTCAAAAAGGTGTTGTTGTTGTTTTACTTTTTAATTGAGGGCTGAATCATTCTTTCAAAGCTGATCTGTTAGGTGGGTGGGTAGCGTTAAAGCAAGAAGTAGGATCCTAACAACTTTATTTAACTGTCTTTCTAACAGCTTTCTCTGCCTTTCTTCAAAGGATCAAGTTACAGAGAAGGGAGGAATAGCTTCTATCAGAGGCTGGAACTGACTTCTGCTAAAATTATTTTGAAATTAGGCTAGGAACTATATATAGGCCTAGCATTCCAGAAGGCAATGAGTAGACTTCTTTTAAAACAGGTGCTTGATATGTATTGCAATTGGATAGTGACTGGATAGACAGCCTGGGTTATGCCTTCATGACTTTTTTCACACTAGGTTTATCTAGGGTGATTTTGTGGGAAATCGAGGGGTATATTAGAGATTATGTTTTATATTGATCTTTATATTGGATACCAAGCAGAGTAGGTTGACTTGTTGGAACAGAAGGAAGGATGGATATAGATCAGGGGTGTCAAACTGCTGGCCCATTGGCCAGATGCATCACCCACCCAAGTTCTGGCAATGGGGAAAAAGTTGCTATATATTGTGACACGTCATGTGACATGACTTGGTGAGTTTGACACCCCTGAGATAGATAGATAGATAGATAGATAGATAGATAGATAGATAGATAGATAGATAGATAGATAGATAGATAGATAGATAGATAGATAGATAGATAGTATGAAGATGTAGGTTGATAAGTAAGTGACCTTAGCATTTTAGTTCATCCACTCCTGCCAGAGATGAAAAATGGCTTGTTTCTCACCACATTTGCAACCGTTAAATGAAAGAATGACAGTTCCTAAAATGTGGGGGAGATGCAGTATCTCCCTAAAGGCAATTCAGTTTAAAGGGATTAACAGCTCCTTATTTTGTGAAGAGTTGTACATGCACTTCTGTGGAACTCACTAGCCTGATTTCATCACATTAATAACTTCAATTTAATGCCTTGGTGTCTTAAGTTAGGAAGTGTTCTGAATTGTAAATTATCATCAAAGAGCTATTTAAATATTTATGCGGAATAAATTCAAGGCTACAGCCATATATTTCAGATATACCTTTCTGGGATATCAACTGAGTGAACGCAGTGGGCTTTCTGAGTAAACACGGATAGGTTTGCACTGTTAACTTACCAAATGCATTAAAGATTGTATCCCTGGGGGGGGGGGGTTGTTTGTTTGGTTGGTTGGATTTTTTTGTTGTTTTTTTTTGGAAATGAAACACAATTGATCTTTCTCTTCCTTTGTTTTTGGCCTCAGTATTGTTTCCTTCTCCAAATGTAATGCAGTAAGAGGTGGGAAATTATCCAAAATCAGGTGAATGAATCTTGCACTGGAACTAGATCTCTCAGTTTTCCAGCAATACAATCCTTCTTCAGTGGACTGAGGGAAAGATTGGAAAGGGTTGTGGGGTAAAAAAGAGGGAACAAAATCAGTTTGTGTGGCCTGCCTTTTCCTTGTGGTTGTTCTGTTCAGCGTTTCTCAACCTTGGTAACTCTAAGATGTGTGGACTTCAACTCCCAGAATCCCCCAGCCAGCCATGCTGGAAATTCTGGGAGTTGAAGTCCATACATCTTAGAGTTGCCAAAGTTGAGAAACACTGCTTTAAAGCCTTCATTAGTTGAAACCCTTAAATATATACTTTTAATATATGGAGGATTAGTACTGGAATTGGAATTTTAAAGGCTGTTTTTAAAACCTGCCCATCCTATCATTATAAAAACTTCTTTAAAGATAACCAATATTTTCTTCAAACTGTAATGCTGTTTAATAAAAAATAAGGGCATTTTTTTAAAAAGGCAGAGAATGCAAACTCATGACAAGCAGGTTATTTTTTCTTCAAATATAATTATTCCACATAAAATAAAACAATGCCCCAGATTCCTTAACAGGTGGCAGACAGTATTTTGTAACAATGTCAGTTCTGTGATTGTGTGGGCTGAACTAGATGGCAACATTTAGCCTGGCTTAGTTGGACCTGAACTCAGAACTGGTTAGGAGCCCACCAAGAAAGTTGAAAAGTTGAAAACACATTCTGGAAGAAGGCAAGTGGCAAATTACTTCTGTGTTACTGGCAATGAAATTGCATGGATATATTCACAAGACCACCCAAAATCAAGCTGATCTCAAAAGTGACTGAAGTTGTAAGTGAATTGCATTTTTTCAAGACTGAATACATTTCTGACTGCTGCTGCTGCTGCTTTAGCCAGTTTTAAAAGTGTTAAACATGATTCTGGAACAATGATACTATGAAGCAGAGACTGACTTAGGTCAGGGGTGTCAAACTGCCAGCCCGCAGGCCGGTTTCATCATACCGGAGCCGCGCCCACCCCATTGCCGGCAATGGCAAAAAAGCTCTGATACGTTGCACGACGTCACGTGACGTTGCGAGTTTGACATGTCTGACTTAGGTAATATGCAGTTCAGCAAGCTTTGTCTTCTGTGCCACGCCTTATCATCTGCTACAGTGTAAGTCTCTCTTATAAATGAAATACTGTATATTTTGTATTTCTAAAAAGAGTGGTGAAAATAGATTATTTTTTAAAAAAAATTACTGTTTTAAGATGGGCTGACCTGCAACTGTAATACATGATACTTGCTATATTTGATGAAAGGACCTTGAAATCTAAAAGAGAAGGAATCAGTAAAGCTTTGCAATGGATAAACATACAGATGCTACACCTTATTAATTTATATTAGTTCTTTTTTAATATTTCCAGTTGCTGGCTATCTCTTGAAGGTGGACTTCTCTATGCCTTTGTTGGACCTGCAGCTGCTGTTGTCCTGGTAAATATTGTTGGCATTTTCAATAGTCATAGATAGATGGATAGTTAGAAAAAAGAAAAACAGATGAAAATTCTTTTTTTTTATTTACATCAACTGTACTGTATAAATTTGTTACACACACTTTATAATGTTTGCGTCTTTTTATATATTTAATATGTGTGCAGTTTTATTTGTGGAAGAGGATTGCGTACTATTTTTTTCTGTATGAGATTAAAATCTAGAAAAAATGTTAGAATATTTAGAATACAAGCAGAACTTATTTCTAGTATTATGAAACTACCTTGTGTTTATACCAAATACTTTAATTACAAAAACAAACGTTCCCACCTTAATAAATTTCTGTCCATACCTTTCAGAACGTCTTTTCTCTGTCAGGTGCCCTACAAAACTATTAGACTTTAAATCCCATAATCCTCTGTCATCATGGGAATAAGGGAGATGAAGTCTGAACTAGCCACTTTTCAATAGGAGCCTTGCTCTTTTAATTAGTGAAAAATCTTCTGTTTTATTTTGCTTATGACATAAACTTGATAATGAGTCAATCTATTAAACCAGAGGTCCCCAACCTTTTGGGCACCAGGGACCGGATACATGGAGAGAGGTTTTTCCGTGGACCGGAGGGGGCCTGGTTTTGTGTGCTGCCTGCATCCTGTGGATGGGACTTTGCTTGTTTGTGCAGACTGGTTGCTGGTATGCTGCGGCCTGGTACCGGTCCACGGACTGGGGTTTGGGGACCCCTGTATTAAACTGTTCTTGTCCTCCAGTTTCAATCAAATAAACAAGGTTTGCCAATTCCATCTGGAATGGAGACCAAAGGTCAATTTAGTCAAACAATTGTCACTTGTTTCCCATTGTTGTGTTAGAGGATATACAACTGTAAATAAGAGGCTTATTATGAAGCAATCCAATGCACAGCCATTTCTGAGCAAAGGGCAGTCTGAGCACAAATAGCAGTTTGTGAAAAAGTAACAGTTATCCCAGGATAAATCACCTGGTTTTCATGTGCTTAAATCACCAAGTATACAGAGCAAAATGGTGAGTAATTTGTCTGAGAACGCCTTAGGCCACAGTCATTTCAGGGTCACGCAAAACTGCTGTTTGAATTTACCTAGCTGATAAAACAGAACTGCTGACATTCCATCAGTGGCTCCAGCTAAAGATGCAGCTTCCTTGACATCTCTCATCCATGTTCAGGTTATATCTTCTCTTGGCAGAGATGCAGGAAAGGAGGAATAGTAGAGCCATCTCCTACAGAGATGCAGGAAAGGAGGAATAGTAGAGCCCTCTAATAAAGCCAGGCTTTATTATGAGATGCCCAACTATCCTCACTTTGGGTACCAGTTACGTATGTTAGGCTGGTAACAAAAGGAGAATTTTAGCTTGGCGAGATCATCTCAAACATATTTAGCCAGAAGTCCTCTCACTGGATTTAATGGGGCTTTCTCTCTAGGAGAGGGGCTTAGATTTGCAGCCCAACTTGAACCTAAAGTAAGAACTTGCCATGCCAAATGGGGTTCATTTGCTTTAGTATAAAGATCAGGCAGTGTAGGGTAACACCAAAAAAAAAATCATATGAGATCATCTTTTAATGCCCGCTCCCACCCTCCATTTGTAATATTAAGCCAAATGAGAAGATATTTAATTTTAAAAGCTTCCAGTCTTCACCTGTTTGTTTAATAGAACTTCTCCTTGTGTGTGCGTGCACCTATACACACGTATACACACAACTTATCGTACACAGCATATGTATCAGTCCCCTGAATGTTTGAAATACAGATTTGCCTTCCATTTTTGCCAGTTCTTGGAATTGAATTGGTCCTGAAATATATACACAGAGAGAGACAACTATGTGTATATATGTACAGTATATACTGTAATCCCTTTATAATGGATCCATCCTTAAAGTATCTACCTGACTATCTCAAACATTTGAATAGTATCAATAAGAGAAAATAACATATGTCCTTTTTTCAAAATTACCAATATATATTTTTTCACTCATTTATAAAATCTTAGGCTATACACTTTGTAGCATATTTTGGGAGAAAACAAAGTATACCTATTATTATAAAGAAGCAAATAAAAATTATCAGGTGACATGAATGGCATCAGCTCAGTCTACTCTGATTACAAGTGTTATTTTTAAACTGGGGCAAGCCTCTTCAGACAATTGAGCATATAAATGTACAAGTAACACATTTGTAGCTGTGTATGCATATACATGCAAACACACACATACATATACATATAGATATGCATACACACAATCATACTCTTCCATTCTTGTAGTTGTGTCCCATTGCCCTTTCTTCTTTTTTTCACACCGTCTGCTAGCACGTGTTAATTTAATATGTCTAGATTTGATAGAGATGTGTATACTTTTTTAGAATATTAAAGCTACATTCAAGATATCTTAATTTAACGTGATAAAGTTTATTGTTCTCAAAAGGGCCAAACAGATATCAAAGGAACTCCAAAATTAGGACCCTTCCCTTCCCACTGTCACTGAGAGTCATAGTTGCCTCTAAAGTCAGTGGTAAGATCTAGTTCCATACGACTATGCATTCTTTGGGACTGGATCTTGTGTCATGTATGAGAGGTTGCCTGTGGTGGGCCAAGGGGAAAGTAGGTGTGCTAAAACAAAAAGTGGACATGTCCAGAGTAAAACCACATTTCTCCACATCTGTCCTCTACCATCTTATCTGGTATTTAAACCACTATCTTTAATTTTACCTTATTTATTGGAAGAGTGGGAACTGAGTAGAGGATTGGAACCACCCAAAATATTGGAAGGAGGAGGCAGTACACAGGATACTCCTATAATTGTGTTATCTTTCTCTCTCTTTTCAACCTCTGGGAGAAGTTCTCCATGTCTTCATTTTAAACAGTAGAGACTATATTAATGTTTTAATTCCTACATGGTGTTATTAAGATATCCAATGATTGTACATTTATTATGGTGATTAGATTATTTTCAATAGATAGTAATTTTTTTTAAATAATTTTCTTCCTTTTACAATTGTATAGCAGTTTATACAAACAAAACAAATGGTTAAACTCTTAGTGTAAAACTAAAGTAAAATTATCACACTCTTAAATAAGGGTGTTACTTTTGTCACTGACACAGTCTCCTGTGTATAAAAGTGTAATGTAGCAAGAAGTGAGAAGTGTCAGCATCTCAGTCATGCAACTGGCTCATAACACTGTTCAAACTTTATGAACACCCATGATTTTTCAAATATTTTAGATTTCTGAATTATTTAGATCTTTATGTATCCCAGTGGAATTAATGAAATCTTTATGAGATAAGATCCTGTTGGGACTTAGCTGCAACGTATTAAATTTAATGGTCAGCCCAAAATAGATTGATTGTGATGTTTGAATGTGCTAAAATGTATTGGAAATGTACTGGAAAGTTTTCATGAATAATATATCTTTGGAAGAATAACTTAATATAACTCAGAAGAGGATTCATGAGAATTGCTGATCTATGATGACAAAACAAAACAACAACCCCTCAGTGACTCAATAAACTATATTGGTTTAAAAATGAAAATTAGACTTCTGAACTCCTTGATAAGCAAGCTTGCAGCTTAAGTGCAATATACATCTCAATTAGCCAGGGTTCTTTCAACAAATCACCATTAGCTTCAAAATAGATTGGATGAGATCTTGATTAAACTCTGCTTTACCTCAACCTAATTAATTATTGTAAGAATGTTGCTATAAGTCCATTTTTCCTTTATAATTCCTTTAGATTAAGGTAAGCAATTGACACATAGAATCGGTCAGAGGGTGAATTGATGAGCCAAATAGCCAGAATCATGTCAGATACATATATGGAACCAGAATGTATTGTTTTTCCTTTGTTCAGAGACATGCATGCATTCTTTAAAGTATATTAAGCTTATTTTAGAGCATAGCTTACAATTTCTATGTATTTCTTGCCTTAAATCACAGGAAATTATACCAGCAGTTTTTGACTTTTGCAGAGAGGGGGGTTTCAAGGGCATGCAAAACGAAGCCACTTGAAACCCTGGGATCTATGATTTTCCATTTATGCTCTAAACTCTTCTGAAGTAGATAAATGTCAATTAACAATGTAATTCTATATTTGTCTAAATAAAAGTAAATCAGAGTTAAACAGGATTCACTTTACAGGTAATCTTTGCATGTGCATAAATTTGCATATTTAATGAATTTGATCATATTCAAAAATTGTATTCCCAGTAGAATTATAATGTTATTAGAGATTTTCCCCCTTTGTTCTTAGAATCTGGAGATATCCAAGACCGAGTATTTTCCCTTTTGCATGCAAAACATGTGAACTGTAATCCGTCCTATCCTGTTCCCATAAGATTATGTTATAATTATAGTTCATTGTCCAATCTGAACCTAACAGTGCAAAACAGATAAACAGAATTCTATAGTGCTCAATGTCTTACAGTTGTATTTCTCTATATGTGTATATAGTATGTATGTTCTCATTTATATCAAATACAAATAGGAGAGTGAGGACTATACATATCCATGTCTATCTTGGATACCATTGGCAAGGATCACACTGATTGGCTGATTTACAGGGCATGGCATCTTTCTGGAATATCTAGTTCTCTCCAGAATGCAGGTCCTTGCATCTCTTTGCTTTATAGGAGTCACACATGCTGAGATATAGGATCCAAATTGTTGTTCCCGGTTCTTTAAATTTATACCAAATGTATTAAGATTCATGTTTCATTCAGTGTCGTTAAAGGGGCAGCTGTTACCTTTTTATTTGTTTATTTCCTATTTAACAGGTCAACATGGTGATTGGCATCCTTGTGTTTAATAAACTAGTTTCAAGAGATGGAATCCTAGATAAAAAACTCAAACATCGAGCAGGGTAAGCAAAAGTTGGGATATATCAATGATTTATTACTAAATTTTGTCTATTTATTGTTAGATTCACCACATGTATTTTTATTTAATTTCACTTTGAACCTTTTTTCACTTAATTTAATTTCCAGTTCTATTCATCTCCAAATTGCAGTTAACTTATTTTTCCTGAGGAAATGTGACTGAGGAACAGAAAAATAATAAAACACAAGTACAGTTGTATTAAGTTACAAAAAAAAGAGGGTGAAAAACCATGCATGTCCACGCTTTGAAATTTTCCTTGGTTTTGTACAAGTTGAGTATTTAGAATTATATAATTTTGATTAGTAAAAAAAATCCACTTTTAAAAATGCCAGAAGCTCTCTCAGATTAAAAAATAATATTAAAACTGGGCCATTTGTGTGATTGCTTATGGGTTATGAATCCAGAAGAATTAGACATACTACCGAATAAGCAAGCTAAGTGTTACTGTCTCTTGTTTTCTGCAGTGCAGGTGAAATGTGGGTTTGAAAGTCTATTATATGAATATAAAAACTTATATTTATTCTTAGGGGGTTTTGGTGCTCTCTGAGCTTGGTTGTTTTCTTGCAGATGTTTCATTACCCAAACTAGTTAATGTCATCAGTGCTAGTCCTAGTTCCAGAGCTAGTGTTTGTTCTCAGAGAAATGGAGAAAAGATGATTAGTCTAAATTTGATTCATATCATTTCTGCAACCACTCATTCTGTTTCATTCTTCTTTCCTCATGTCGCTGGGATTCTGTGCTCTTAAAGTAGCACTTAAATGAAAGAATGAGTCTGGGTTTTTCAGAGATTTTCGTTCACAGGAGATGAGGCTGAGGAAATTTTGTCAATTTGCTTTTTCCCTCCCATTCCTTTATTACCGTTGTTCTAAAATAGACAGAAAGCTGCAAGGGCAAAAAGAGGTCATGAAAAATGATTCTCCCACTTGCATTTACCAATCTCAGAATCTATGAATTTAAGCCAAGGCATTTCTTCACATACAAAGCAGTAGAAGACGTGGTTAATATACCAAGTCTGGCTTTCTATGCAAAAAAAAGATTTCCACCTAAAATCCTTTTTTTGGGGGGGGGGGGCTGGCATATCTACTCAAAAACTTTCTATTAAGGAGAATGGATTGCTCTATTTCCCCCCACACACACTGGGCTGAGCTCAGGTGTGATGAATTTGAATAAACGTCAAATTTTGTGTAGTGACTATGTGCATGTTCTCCTTTTGTATTTTTTATTTTTCTCTGGTATAATTAAAAAAAATCTGTAATGCTAGCTCCCATTTCTGTGATTTCCTTTAGATTTTATCTATCTGAAAGGTTTTCGAGTATCACCAGCCCATTAATGCTATGCTATGTTATGCAGGAAGTTTTATCCAAAATTAAACCCTGTTAACCCGAGTTTAATTTGGGAGTATATGTTCTCAGGAGTAGGCTACCACACAGTTACCTTGTCAATACAAGAACTAGACACATAAATGAATAGAGCAAGAAGTCAGATTTCTGTCAGTCATTTGTTCTGAAGGAGCTGAAGGGAGTAGCGTCATCATCTCTGCTCCTTTTTCTCTCAAAATACTTGATTAGCAAGACTCCACCACGTTTATCAGATAACTGCCCCAAGAAGAACTAACTTTGGCTGGATCCTACTTTGAGATGTTTTATGATTAGCTAGGAATGCTTCATTTGATATAGTTGCATTTTTAAAAGAATATTTATTAAATTGACAAGAGAGCTTTGTGAATTCAGCGGGTCTTTCATGGGCTTCCAATCAAACTGCCACATAATTGATAATGGTTTTACAACTTGTTTGCATTTTTTTTCTCCTGTGTATACTGTACATGGTCTGCCAAATGAGGATAGTAGTTCAAGAATTTGGGGAAATGGGTTTTATTCTCCATAAGCAAACACACACACACACACACACACACAGACACACAATCCTTTTTTTTTTTTCAATATAGAATTTTATTGTTTTTATCATAAAAGAAGAAATACATCACAAGTATTACACAATGATTTATCCCATCCCCCCACCCCCCGGACTTCCCAAACCAAACCTAGGCTAACATTCAACTACAAGTAAACAAATATTAATATCTCTAACTCCAAACTCTAAACTTAAACAATCCATCTCCTCCG